GTACATGTCATCCTTGCCAAGTTCCATCTAATGCTGCAAAGCAACGTGGATAGCTTAGCCCTACCCTAGCACGTTCCGCCCCCACCAGGCAAGTGTCGGACCAGCACAGCATGCACCGTCACTCTTCTTGTAAATGCGGTTAATATGATAACCTGGCTACCTTACGGCTTGTGATGAACCTAGCAGCATGCATGTCCATCCAATGTGATAGTCTTTGAAACATCCTCACGTATGCGTGCCCCCAGGCCATGGTGGGTTGTGCTCCGCGCCACGACTGCTATACCTGGATCAACCCTGGCGTGGCGGATGACAAACCGGACATGCCTGTCGTGTTCCAAGAGCTAGGTGGGTCTCAGCTAGTAAGGCTTTTGCCGTCCCGAGATGATGAAAAGCTCCAGTTCCGGTTCGTTACGCCATCGTTAGGTCATTTCGTGCCGTTATGGGAGCATGCAAGCATGCATCTAACCCTATGTAGACATCTAGCCGTCGTGCATGCCCTGGAGGTTAGATTTGTCTTGCAGGCCGCGTCTGTTTTCAACCAGTGACGACGTTTTACGCATGATGCTTGATGCTTGATGCGCCCATCATGTTTTGGCTTGCTTTGCTGCTGGTACTGCTGCTGCTGCTTACTATTTAGGTCACAACATCGGCTTAGCGCATTCTTCCCGAGTAGTTTGCGATAACCGCGGCAACTGTGCAAGGGACGAGTACGGGGATCCCGTCGATCCCATGGGCGCCACCTGGCCCAACGATCCGCAGAAGCATGTTGTGTGCACCAACGCAGCGCAGGTGCGTGGGTGACGGACAACGCAAAGGCACCGAAGCCGCTATCCAATTTTCTTTGGTTCGCTCGCAGCACACGCGCACGCACGCGCAGGGATAATTCCTGCGTGCATCCCAGATTAGATCCTCCTCCAGCAGAACAGAGATAACCATCAGCATCAACCTGACACGCACTCTACCAAGGGACAGCTAAAATCATGACCTTTTCTCGTATGCTGGACGCTGCTGACATACCTGTTTGGTTCATCTGATGTATGTATGTATGCAGTCATACAAAGCTGGTTGGTCTTCACCTACCCAAGGTGGCCATCTCAGCTTGACCAAAGATCTCACACCAGGTGTCCCCCGGGTATTTACACTGCCCGCCATGGCGCTTAACAAGGCCAATATGTTGCGTATCATCACAGATCGTAAAAACCCCAGTGTGAATAATGCCACCACAGAACTGCAACAGCGAGCTCTATTTGTTTCATACAGGTGCGTGGGTTGATTTTTTCATTCGGAGCAGCACGCATATGCGTGGTGCAGGAGTGACCCTTTGAGGGACAGTCGATAGATGTACTACATCTAATAATTACAGGGCTCCTCTGTGTGCACCGGGTAATAACAAGCATGCAAGGACCAGGACCAGGAACCCCGCTGGACGAAACCCTCTTATGGCTTGCTTGACCTCCCTGCTGCCCCTGCCTGCGGTGACTTCCAACCCTGCCGGTGGCCAAATGGATGGCCGAAGAAACGAAATACGCATTTACCGCGCAATTTCTGCTGTGGCGTGGTACAAAAGACGTGACAATGAAGACCGCACTCCTGTATGCCCCCTTTCGAACTAACGAAGAATAGGATCGTAGCTGTTGCACTCCGTCCACGTTACGTCCATGTAACACCAACTCATGTCCCGCTGACTATTAGGGTGCGACAGGATGCCAATGGTGCTTACGATTCAGGCCTACATGACACCTGGGACAACTGCGTGTGGTAAGCAGGGGCATAAGCGTGAGGGTGGCATCTGGCCTCCCTACTAAACAACAAGATAGAAATTACCTTTTTGCATTAGTATTAATTGCACGTACAGGAAAACCGAGCTGCTGTTGCAAGATGATTCACATGGCGTGTTAATCCTGCTGTGACACGACATACATGATAAGCAAGGCCCGAAATGCAAACAAATAATCTACCGTAGTAGCTTCTCGGTGGAAGCCTAAATCCAAGGGCACCTCGTTCACGAATAAGGCAGGCTACTGCTTTCGCGGCTACCGCATGTGATCCTCGCCGTACTAGCTGTACATAGTACGGCACACATACCGTCTATAATAAATATGCGCGAAGGCGCGCCGCCAGCATCTTAAAGCGCCTTTCAGCGGCCAGCCACAGCACTCCCTTGTTCTGGTTCTGTGGTCACATTGTCCCGCCCCCCGCAGGGTCCACGAGTACAACGAGACAGCAAACGGCATCCCTGCTAACCTGGACACGCCACCGATTGTCCTCGCAATGTTAACTGATAACAAGCCCCCGCCAGAAATTCGCACTTGGGGAGTGCTGAACGGCTCCTTCACTCAGCTCCTGCCCGATCTCGGTGGCGTCAGCATCCAGCTCAAAAGCAAGACGCCTCAGGCAGCCACTGTCTCTGTGTGCTGGTTCCTGAGCATTGTCGAGTCTAGCGGAGACCAATCGATGTGCTCAGATGGGCTAGACAATGACTGGTGAGCATTCATGGGTTGCCCAAGAGGCACGCAAAGTAACTCAGGAATGAATGCTGGCATTATTTATTCGCAATTCCTGTCTGATGAACGTTTTTAAGTGACGGAGTCCCGTACGTTTAGGGGGTAACCGCACGCTTTTGCTTGGGGTGGGCCAACTCTGCAAGGACGTTAGACCAAGAAGCAAGGTTGGTTGTGTGCTGTCCAGGGCTTGTATAGCTCAACCTGCTGCCGCATTTCCCTGCTGCCTGTGCCTGCCATGATCCACTAATATGCAGCGATGGCCTGGTCGATGCAGAGGACCCCGACTGCAAAGCCATCTTGCAGCCACCGCCAAAAAAGCCATCACGTCCACCGAACTCGCCGCCACCGGTGGGGCGATCACCACCGTTTACATCACCACCATCACCACCACCACCACCACCACCTCGCTTAAAGCGGCGCTTACCACCACCACCACCACAGAGCCACTCCCCTCCGCCTCCACCACCCGTTAACTCCCCGCCACCACTACGGCGTGCGACAGCAGTGCGCCGCAAGCCTCCAACCCTCCGGCGTGTGCGTAGTGACTAAGGTAGTCCTAAGGCCGCACCTGGTACTACTCACAGGCCACGGACGTTGCTGCTAATCGGCTGGCCTGCAATCTGAGCATGTAGACATGCTGCCTGTACCTCTGCTGTCGGTTTCAATGTATATGTATAGGTGTGATCCATCGGCGAGCAGTTTCATACGCCACACCTACTCTTTGACCGCGGCCACCATCCTAACTACTAGCTAGCTTGCAATGGCCACCGGGCAAGCAACGTGCGCTTTATCGACATGCGGTCACCGCCACGCACTCTCCGCTCTTCGTGTGCGTCCTGATCTTCGTTCAGATGAGAAATAATGTTGTGGCATCTTTGTTGTGAGTTGTGATTAATAGTGTCACAATTTGATTTGATAGATGCAATCAACAGCGTGACGATAGAACGAGCGAGGGTCCTAAAATGCAGGTCCTAAAATACAGGTTTTAATAAGTAGATATGTATAAGTAAATATGTACATGCGTACGTCCATTGCTTGTCCATGCACGCGCAGCAGCAGCAGCAGATCTTCTAGAAGAGAAAGAGGCTAACGCACGGAAAAGGGACAAATCCATAGAGCGAGGGTGGGGGGTTACTATATCGGATACCCTGGTGTAAAATATGTAAACCTGATATGCCATGGGCACAGCAGCAGCTGACAGATGCCAAGTAAGTGAACCTGCAGGTTCACTTAGGGCTGGGTTCACTGCAGGCCGGGACCGCGCGCCCGGCTGCACATGGATGCATGCATATGTGTGTGTGTGTGTGTGTGTTACATGGTTGGGGGGTGCGTGACCCCATACCTGTAAGACTACCCATACGAGCCGAAGGCCCAAGGGCAATACTACAACGCCTAAAAGCCACGGAGAAAAGGAAAAACACCGCACATCAGCCCAGACTAGCGTCCAAAGGGGGTAATTGAGTTTCAGTGAGCCCACATACGTTCCAACATCCTCGCCAGACGTGCGGGTTCCCATTGCATGGCCTCCAACATGCTCTGTTGATGATTGAATCCCTCTTCAGCACGAATATCATTATAGGCTGGGCATTCCAATAACTATGATTGTTGGTGCATTAGAAATTACAAATAATATTACAATTAAACTAATTAGAATTCTAATGAGAAAGTTAGAAGACCCCTTGAGAACAGATTAGAACGTTATAATGTCGTACACCCATTAGAATGGCTATTCAGGCCGCCTCCGCAGCCTGCAACGGCATATTTTTCTAGGAAAAATGGCTGATGCTGATGCTGGGCCATCAAAACCACCAGTTTTGAAGACTCCTAAAGCAACATACACTTATGGCAACAAGGAGCTAGACGCTCCAGCCTACGCGGAAGCCCTGAAGAGTGCAAAAGCAAGAGGCAGTGCTTCCTGGTGGTCGTTTTTCACCGTGATCTTGACAGAAAGAGTCGTGAAGCTGAAGTGCACCATTTGCGGCGAGGTGCTGGGTGCCAAAAATCCGTCTGCAACAGCTCCCAACCATCTTAAGAAGCACAACAAGGCAGCAGACAAGGCGCAGGAGGGCAGTGAGGCGGAGGGCGCCACACCTGCAGTGCCGTCCGGCGCGAAAAGGTCTCGCTCATATGACGGCACGCCCACTCCGTCCATGCGCCCACTCTGTTTCATGCCATCTGCCAACCAGATATACGTCTTCCTGAAGAATCTGGCCTTGTTCTTCTACACCACAAACATCGCCCTTCACCTTATCGAGAACCCCTACCTTGTTCAGGCCTGCACTGCCCTGGGGGTCACACTGCTCTGCCGCTGGAAATTAGTAACCACTATGCTTGACGAGGCGCACGCGGAAACAGTCTCTGAGGTTGCGAAAGAGTGTGCGGCTGGGGAGGGGCTTGCGTGCATTGCCAGTGACGGTTGGCGGAGCCGCGTTGCGTTGGGTGGTACCCCACTTATCAACATCATGTCACTGTATATCGAGCGCGCGATCTTCCGCAAGGCTGTCACCGCCGCCGGTGTCTGCAAGGACGCAGAGTGGATTGCCAAACTCCATATTGCCTTAGTGGAGGACCCCGAGCAATTTGCATGAGTTGATGAGGATTTTTCTAGAAGTTTTGGGGCGACAGGTTTGGCATGTCCGGACTGTGTGTTGGGTGTTGCTTTGCAGACAATTAGGACTGGACTCTTGGACTCTTGGTTCAGGTACCAAAGATGTTGGGAAGGCGTACGCAGAGACAGTTTAAGACAGTCTAAGACAGTTTAAAGGCGAAATTAGTGACCCAGAGGTCACTTCGACCGGGGGTTTGGCTGAGAAGTCCTGCTTACGGGTGTCGTAGCCCCGTAAAAACCGTTAAAAACACCTGGGTTAGCATCTGCCGTAACCATGGTGAAACTCCGAAGTGAAAAGTCCCCCTCCCTGAGAAGTTACCCCAGGTCTTCTAATATTATTTCTAACGTTCTAATTAGAAATAATATTATAATTAGTAGAGAACGCCTGAAATTCTAATAAAATCAACAACCCTACCAATAACACGTGTTTTTCATCTCTGTCTGAGGCCGGGCCGTGAGTCACGTGGAGCGCCTAGGGCTATGGCTGCTGCAGCAAACGCCCATCCTGAGCTTGAGGGACACGCTCCCCCATGCAGGTAAAATAAGTGTGACCTTCCTGCATGGCAGCGATGATCCCACATGCCCGGTTGAACACGCATATCAGCGGCTATTTGTGCCATACCCCCGCACACTAGACTTCGTGGTGCTCGAGGGGGCAGACCACAACAACGTACCCATCCACCCACAGTTCGCCGTGTCACTTCGATCAGCAGTGGATGCACTCTTGCTCGGCAAACGCCCCAGGCTTCTGAAACAAAAGGTCAGCCACACCTTGTTCCAGCTTGCGCGCACCAACACGGAGGTGCTCCGTGCATTTGCGACACATTCCCTTACCGTGTCACCATCTACTTGACCCGGATATAAGGACAGCCCTGAGCAGCCCCACACACACAGAGCGACCTGTTCACGGCTTCTCCGTTGAACTGCGCAAACACTCGCTTCTTGCCGTCGTACAGGCGCAGCCGTGGACACTTTGGTTTAACCTGCCGTTTAACTATGAAGGCCTGCTACCCTGCACCCCTAACTCGCGGCACATCCTTCCGCTGTGTCCTCATTGCTCCTAAACAGTCGCTCCTGATCACACGCAAGGCATTGCCACCAGATGCCGCGCCTGCTGTGCTGGAGACGCGCAACAAGCTCACCTCGTCTGGGATTCCTGAAGCGCAAGCTGACGCCATCCTAGCCAACTTCATCCCATCTAACTCCAGCGTTGCAACTAAAGACGACATCAAGGAGCTGCGGTTTTACCTTTTTCTCCTGTTGGGGGGTGGTGGTGCTCCTGAGCGTAACTCCCGAGAGCCCGCTCAGGACACTGGTTGCTGCTCTCTGGAAGGTGGTTAAACCCTAAGGGACGCAGCCGGGTGGACTTGCATCGTCGGGGGCGCTACGTGGAGAGGGGTTGTGAATCGAAACTGCAGCCCGCGTTTGGCTACAAGCTGGGGATGATGAAGACATGGAGGAGGGTGGCGACTCTTCAACCTGCTGCCACATCACGGCGCGTCGTAAGTCCGGAAATAGCCAGTGACATGACCCAGCTATATTTCATAGTCTGTAGATCACCAGGAAACCTACCAGAAAACGTCGACCATACCGTGTTGAGGCCACGCCTTTTGGGAACTGGCCGCTACTTACAATTCCCCGAGACCATTTGTTTCGAGAGGCGCAAGCGTTGAGCAAGAAATAATACTTCATATCGCTTGATATTCTTCTGGATCAGTTTTGGAATGGGTAAATACCGAGCTCAGCATCCGACTGCATGTCCCAAGGCCGCCGCTGCCCGCGCGTTCAATCCAGGGTGGTGACTAGGCGTGCTGCTGCCAGATACACAGACACAGGAGCCAGTCTAGCGGAGAGCCGCCAAGGCACACGATGAGGCAAACGATAGCGGGGGGGGGTTCAGACCCCCTGCAAACATGAGGCGCCAGCTCGCACCAAGTCCACTTGCAGTCCACTTGCAGTCCACACATGGCACAGCACCCCATGCCGCAGTATCCCCGTGCAAACTGTCCAGGAGCACAAACAGCAAGCAGTGTGGCACCAGAGGCGCGAGCAACAGAGGAGCCCAGGGGCTGCAATATTTTCCATGGTTCCATGGCGCACCCATGGAACATGTAAAAAACAAAGCTTGTTCGCTCAGTGCGGTAGGGTGAATCCGTGGCTTGCACGTGTGCCAGCCAGCCTGAACCACGTGGCTGGCTGTCCGGACAGCTTCTGCTGCACCGACCCATCGATGCTATGTTTCCCGGAAGGCCACGCTGTTTGCTGTCTGTGCTTGCGCCTCTGGCGCCATGCCAGCTTTGTTTTTTACATGTTCCATGGGTGCACCATGGAACCATGGAAAATATTGCAGCCCCTGGGCTCCTCTTGCTGTCTGTGCTTGCCGCCTTAGGAGTGGGGGCAAATGCACACATCCTTTGTGAAGTTGTAGCCCCTGAAGTGGTCGTGGAAGTAGGCCTCCTGCTCCCCAACAAGCTTGACGAACACCCTGTACGAGGGGATGCCAAGCGTGTACCAGCTGTTGCCGGGGACACCATCTTGGTACAGGTAGCTGGGTCCTCTCAATCCTATTAGGCGTTTCACCCTTGCGGCAAAATCCGTGCTGGCCAACAAGTCGTATGCACGCACTGATCCTGCATGCTGCCGGTAAATCTCAATGTCATCATCTGTCAGCATCAGGTACACTGTAGCAGCTGACCGCTGAAAAGGTCTCTCGAGTTGCTGGTGGTCACGCTCTGCGCGTATTTATAGCACCGTACTGTGTACCGGCTGCTACATTCCCCCCCCTTTGAAGGGAACCGTCCCGGGCCCTTTAGAGCCTCGTATACCACCAGCCTGTGCCTACCTTCGCCTACCCTCGGGCAGTGGGGTGTCCAAGCCCACGTCACGTCATGTGCCGCCCTTTCACATGCGCCTAGCCGTCTTCAGGTTTTTCAGGCACAGAGACAGTCCAGTCGGTTCAGCTACTTTTATTTATATATTTTGTGCGATATTCGCTCACTGAGTCGCCACACCCGAAATACCACTCGAACGTGATCGGTGGGGGTTGAACCGACGACTTCAGGATCGTGAAGTTTCACGAGGTCTCGATACCAAATGTAGCAGCTGACCGCTGAAAAGGTCTCTCGAGTTGCTGGTGGTCGCGCTCTGCGCGTATTTATAGCACCGTACTGTGTACCGGCTGCTACATACACGTGCCGGATTGGGTCAGGCCTGCTGTGGGTGCGGCAAGGCGGGACGGCCTCGAACTTGAGCACCTTGAGCCAGTGGTTGCCCTCAGCAAAGCTGTCTCGGCTGGTGACCAGGCGCAGGCTGTCCACAGCAGCTGCCCTGCCGGCCCCTTCCTTGTCACCCAGGATGTCAAAGACGTCATGGGCGGATGCTATGTACGGCCAGTTGTGCGTGGTGAGCAGTCCGTCGTCAAAGATGTGCTTGAGATGCTGCAGCATGGCACCCTTGGTGCTGGGCATGTAGTCCTTGAAGTACTTGGACAGTGGGTTGCCGCCGTACAGCATGAAGGGTTTGGTGGACCTTCCGTCAAAGTGGGCATAGTGCATTGTCCGCTCCGTGCGAGTCACAAAGTGCACCTCGTAGGTGTAGACCTCATGCTGCCGCTTCTTCATGCCCGCCTCAGCGTGGGCCCTTACCAGTTTTTTGGCAGCTTCATGAAACGCGGACGAATGATCACTCGTCCGAGACAGGGTGTGGCGGTTACCTTCCCAGTTTGGCACGATGAGTACCAAGAAGGCTTTGCGGAGGCCATCTGTTTTCACAATGTTCATGGAGATCTTGTAGAGCCCTCCCGCGCTGGTCTGCCAGCCGGTGACGCCGCCAAGTTTGTTTAGCAGGCTGTGCACAGCTTCCCGATCACCCTTGAGACAGATCCTGACAAGGTCGTTGCTTGCGGTGTCCGGCAGAGTGTCAATGGCGTGAATCTCACTGTTGACGTGTTCATCGAGCCTTGTCGCCTGTTTCATCAGCCGCAGCCGCTCGGTCTCCAGCTTCTTGAGAAGCTTCTCGTGCACGGTTTCCGGGGTCAGACGTCCAAGCTTTTCCAACAGGCTCTCAACCAAGACCACGCGCGTGGTGTCCTGCGTCAGGTTGATGTGCTGCATGCATATCTTGAGCAGTGGCGAGTCCCCCGCGCCGCCAGCATACCCGCCGCCTGTAGCTTTTGCGGTCCTCATGGGCCGCCCATACACAACAGCACTTGCAGGCCGCCGATACACGGCGACAGCAGGGCGGGGCTGGCTGGCGTGTGGTCCTGCTGCTGGTAGCTCTATAACTGTATGGATTGAACCGGTAGCACATCTGCTTTGGACCTCATACCCTGGTAGTATCTTGATTGCCGTACATGCTCTGAGGCTAGCCCCCTTCCTGAGACATGTTCCAGGAGCAACAGGAAGAATCATGGTCGTACTAGGTGGTCTGGAATGTCCCTTTTGCACGGCACTTCCCTTATACGGGTCCGGACACTAAGTCATAAACATGCTGAAAGCACTTTCTGATGTCAGCACTTGTTACCTCCGCGACTTTGCGAGCGGCAGGCATGGAGAGATCTCTGTGCCAACAACAACTGTGGGAGTGGCGCTGCCCAAGGTGGTGAGGACGCACGGAGTGAGACACCTTGTGGCGCAGCACAAGATAGACGAGTACAACACTACAAAGTGCTGCCACTGTTGCGGGGAGGTGACAGTGGCAGCGCCCACCACGAGGCCAGATGGTAGAGTGAGCTTTCGGTACAGGCTGTGCACCGCAACAGTCGTCGCACTTTGGGCTTGCCCCAACTTGATAGAACAGCCTAGGGTTATGTCATAGATCGGTTTCCATTCTCGACATAACCAAGGTGTAACTGCTACGGCAATGTTTCATACACTGAGTGCGCAACACTGTAGTGTACACCGTACTGCTACATATCAGAGTCTGTGGCAGGATGCTCTCCCTGGCACTTTCCGGGCGAGCGCTGCTGTCACCAATTCCTGCACGGGTCTACTTGCTACAAAGGGTGTGTCTCATTTCAAAACAGCAGGTCTGTATCAATGCCACCAAGAACCGCATGCATAGCGAACTGTCAAACTGCAAGACATCACACATCAACTTTTTGTTCCTTTGGTTTCGACCAGAGAGACAACACAAAGCAACAAAGAAAACTTCGCTATTGATGGGCCTTGTGGCCATGCCCTGTCCCCCCCAAACCCCCTTAGCCTGCGACACAGGCTGTTCCCCTTCACCCCACGCCCCCTCACCCCAGCCCACCCTGCCGTGAAGGCCATTGCATGGTAGCCCTCCCCCCCCCCATTCCCCCAATTGTCTTGCAGGCGTCGTGCTCCATCATCTCCAGACATGAGACTTCCCGGAGCGCCAGGCTGTCCTGACATGCTCCTGACCCGCTCCTGACGCTGACACCACAGTGTGTGTTCAGGCAATCACTCACCGACGCACCTGCTGCTGCTGCTGCTGCTGCTGGCTGTTGCACATGTGCAGCACTTCATTCACGCGCTCTGCCGCTGCACACAGAGCACCACGCAGACCCTCAGGGGTGTAGGAAAGGAAGACTGTCAGGCCTGGTACTGAGTTGCAGAGGCCCACGAGCACGGCCTCCAGGCCGCTCACAGTGGTCCCATCCAGCACTTGCAGCCTGAGCAGGGTCAACTTGGGCAGCACCAGCAGCGGCAGCACAACCAGCACTACAGGGCCACCGATGTCCAGCATCTGTAGGGCAGGTTCGTTCAAAAAGAGGTTTGATGCTTGCAACAGTGTGGTTTCGTTTCCTTGACGACACTCCGGGGAGACAGGGGGGGCAATGCTGTTCTCAAATGGGGAAGCCGGGACCCAAAGTCGTGACTATGTGAGGCCTGATGAGAATACCTTCATTTATCCTCACACAGAGCTGTGTTCACCCCAGTCTTTTCTTGGCTGTCTTGCACCCGCCCACCGTCTGATCCCTTCTGCTGAGAACCCATGCATGGATGTTGCCTTTCCTGTCTTTCTCTTTCTCTCTCATCCTGCAGAGAGCCACCTCACCTCCAGGGATGTCAGTGTCCGTAGCGCACACACGTCTGCCATGCCAAGCTCCAGGGCCTCAAACAGGTGCAGCTCTTTTAGGTTCAGGCGTGCCAGTGAGGCCAGGAAAGGCCCGAAGCTTCCCTGCCACGAGGGTGGGAGCACTGGACCGCCTAGCCCAAGCTCCATCTCCATTTTGCGGTCGGGGAAGTGCTGGCCCCTTTCCGCAATCAGCATAGCGGCCTGGATCAAGCGGGCCCCCCACTTCTCTGAACGCTGCCCGCCACCGTGGCGAGGTTGCAGGCCCATGCCATGGATGTCGAGCTTGCAGCTGGGTGGCGTGCTCTGGAGGAGCGTCGTGAGAGATGCAGGGTCCTGTCCGTCGTCCTTGACAGAGAGGAGCTTCAGGTGCGGTAGTTGAGGAGGGGGTGGTGCAGCCTTCTCCTCCTCGCTGGCCTGGAATTCACTAATGACAAGGGACTCAAGGCGCACCAGGTGCTGTGCGAGCTGGGCAAGCTGGGCCGGCCTCAGGCAGAAGCCACCCCAGAGGTGCGTGAGGCAGGTCAGGCGCTGCAGTGTCGGGATGAAGGACTCCACGTCCTTCACACTAGGAATGCTGAGCGTGCGCAGTGGAACGCCTGCCGGCAAGCCGCCCAGTGCGGTTGCCAGGTCAGCAGGGTGCGACCTGAGATTGTCATGCTGGAAGCAGAGGCGTGCACGGGCACACAGCTCCTGGAGACCCGCGCATTCGGACAAGGCCCGTGCAACCCTGTGTGCCTGCTCTGACCCCGATCCCAGTTCAAAGTCGAGGTGCTGCAGCCCTGGGCCGACACTACCTTCAAGAAGCGGCAGCAGGTCGCTGGACCGGAGGTTCCAGAGGGTCAGCTTCATCAAGGCGGGTGCCACCGCGAGCACCCCCTTCGCGTCGATCTCATCCGAGCCATCAATGGTCACAGATGTGAAGCCTTGGTATTCTCGATCCCGTAAAGGTCGCAAGACCGCACTTTTGGGGGTGGGATGGAGGCCGGGCAGGATCAAACAGCATCAAGGGTCGACTTTTTTCTCAATCCAGCAGGGTCAACTTTGTTTGTTTACAGCATGTAGAACTTAGGCTACTTGACTCTCAACCTCAAGACGTTGAACTCAACTTAAGGCCGCGAGTTACCCCGCTGAACATGAGCGACGTTGGATTGCAGCCCACATCAAGAATCCTAATAAAATATTTGTACAGATGTCCCGTTGGATGACTGCCGTCTGTGATACGGACGTCGATCCTGTCAACGTCGACGGAATCCCGCGTAGATTTGCACAGGAGACGGAAATCATGCATATTCCAGAAGTAAGGACGCAGTATTGCGATTATCACAGGGTTCGCAAGGGGCAAGACTTGGATAGCAGGAGCACTGGTTGGCACGGTGTTGCGCCGGGTAAACTTCTTGGGAGCCATCTCTTTGTTGAATTTTTTTAAAGGATTTCTCCTGAGGGATCCAGGCAAACGTGTTTGTGAGACCAACATGGCTTGTCACATCACCGGTCCCCACGACCGGTCCCCAGCAAGCCGACTGCTGGGCAAGTCGCACCCAACCCCCGATGCCGTCAAGGGAAACTTTCCCTGTACGGGAATTTTCCCCGGGGCCTGGACGAGTTTGCCGGGAGCGCGTATCTCGCTTGTCTGAGGCGTGCTGCTAGTAGCTCATAGTACATAGGTGCTGCCTTGCTCAAGCTTTGGCTTTAATGGCCGCGACCGGCCGGTGCCCCGATTGGCACAAGGTTGGGACGCTGGAGGCCAGCTCTCGACGCTAGGATTGCTCTCATATTCATATTTGTATATTCGTTAAAGGAGGGAAAGCTCAAAGGACGCTCAAGCTGCGCGCCAGGATTCGCGGCTGCAGTTGCAGGAGAGAGGCACAGGCACAGCTGGGCAAAGGCGCCACAGGATAGCACGTAATCTTACACGATAGCTCAGAAGATACCTGCCCCGAACGAACGGGAACACATGTCGTGGATTTTGCAGGGTCATTACCGGTAGCCACAGCTGGCCACAGCGCACAGAACAAGCGCGGATGTCTGGATCTACCTTTTCAACGCATAATATCATGTCAATGGTGACGTTAGAACTTGAGCGGTGGACTTTGCTGCAGTGTACCTCCACTGCACTTTAACTTTTACCGGGCGCGTCCGATCGCCTCGGCATAGAGCTAGATGATAAGCGTTGCACGCGACGTATATAGAACATTATTTGTTAGATAATGTTATCAACGAATGGAGATGCTCCAAGCGCTCCATGTCCTTGTCGTATAATTCTCAGCACGGAATTTAAGAAGTCTCACACCAGCGGCGCCTGTCCTTGCTCGACACCTCTTTGCTGTAAGATTATATATAAGCAGTGATACTATGTGAAGGAGACTTTATAATTGATATGTAACCTAGTTACCGCTTATCGCGCATCGTTGAGGCCAAGTGCTTTTCATCGCAACAGTCTGGCCAGTTTAGGAGAGCTGCCCTAATAAAATGTCAACTCTTACGGAACACGTTCTTGCCGGAAGCAAGCCATAGGGGCTGACAGCTGCAGACGTGGGTCGGCTCGCGACGTAAGGTGCCTCCATCCGCGAAAGCTCAACAGACGACATGCGGGAGTCCCTCAGTAGCGGCTCTGCTGTGAACTACCTGGCCCGGATCCCTGGGGCCCTCACCGAGGCGCAGCTGCTCGCGAACCTCGGGAAGGCCGAGCAGGATCTGCGCAAACGCCAGGTGATTGTTGCGGTACCGTGGGCATACATTATTTGAGGGCATATATTAAACTTTCAGTTCTTATTATCACAGAATGCGGCCCTGGATGCAGGCCCTGGACCACCTCCATAACCTGCGAGGCAAGGCCTTGGAGCCGTTGTTTTACGACTTCCGCAGCTCGCTGCTGCTCCAACTTAGCGCTTCGTACAAGCCGCTGGTGGAAGCCTGCCGCAGCTTCAGCGAGCTCAACAAGCTGCTCACGTCATTTCGCACTGGCAGCGCGGCGGAAGAGCAGCTCCTGAGGGCCTGCAAGGCCTTCTGCACTGAATACGACCTGTCGGCGGATTTTTGGGTGCAGTTCGCCGCTGTGGGAGACGTCAATACTGTGCAGAACAGCCGCGTGCACTGTTCCGTTGTGGAGAGTGTCAGCTTCCTCAGCTCAGTCTGCGACCAACCCGACGCTTTCCCGGAGTTCGATGATGCGTGGGCCATGGTTGAGGCCCTGGTCAATTATGGCGGTAAGCACGCGAAGGCTCTGGATGCTGACGCAGAGGCAGAGCGCCGGGCTGTAGCCAAGGCCACTGCCGAGTTCAAGCAGCGCCGGCGGCAGAAGCAACAACCGAAGTGACGAAATTCACTGAGTGAGTGGAGGCGCCCGGGTGGGCAGATAGTGAAGATGCTGCACGCTGGGCCGCTTGCGTGACATATGCTTGTTTGAGGTCCTGTCCTGCATTACTGTTGTAGACTTCAGACGACACAACCATATAATGGGGGCATCGAAAGATACCGATTGAGACAAGTGTCTTGAATAAGTAGTCATCAGTGACTCCACTTGGGCCTCGCGCCGATAAGGATTCCCAGTACGACTGGGCGGCACCCCGTATCCAGAAGCCGTAGTTCGCAGGAACTACTCTCGCTCGGTCAGACGAAACTGGGACGCAGGTCCCAGCTTTACGTAAGTAAAACCCCCACCCATACGCAGGTTAACGACAGTAGCACTATAACAAGCATTTCCTTTCAAAGTGGGAATCTTCCGAGTCAATGCTACCCTAAAGCTCTGAATGTTCCGATAAGAATCAGTCTCCACTAAAAAATGCCAATGCTCATTAGAACCAGCAACCTGCGAACTCCGAACCCGCTACAACGTTCCAAGAAAAGTTTGACCGAGTCCAAATCCCTATCAACCCGGAGTGCAATCTTAAGTGCCATTGTAGTGATGTTTAGGATGTTTAGCTTGTTAGCACGAGACTATAAGGTATAAGGTAGTCTCGTGCAGCTAAACACTCCAGGGAGTCGAGACCTTTTTGAATCCAATAATCGTTACAATTACGACAAATTCTGATGACACATCCTCATCACACAATCATAGGACGGATGGATGGTCGTACTGAAGGCAGTACCTTTTACAGCCAAACCACGAACAACAATAAACAACCTACTCAACGGGTGAACCGATGTATCATTCACACCAGGAGTCACAGCATTATCCGAAGTCAACATATTTACACGGTCTTTCTTATTCCATGCATACAAACAAACCTTATTGAGACACAGAAGAAATTGACTTCCTTGAAACGAGTATTTACAGTCTCAGTTGTCTCCTTAGGATCCATACTAAAGACCACCCGCTTCAACACACGAATGTGACGACGCATTGACGTATCCAATGGTTCAATCGGATTGTAAACACACTTCTTCGAATAATATTGCCAAAAAGCAGTGCGCAGATCGCCAACAACAGAATTAACTGGATAATTAGGTACTATATCCTGACTAGTAAAACGACAAAGCTCTATACTAATCCTAGTTGGATAAGTAGTCGGAGCATAAAACAAAAACTTAGCGCTAACCCACTTCAACATACTCCGACCACCAGGAAACGTATCCAAAGAATTCAAACTATTTGGAGCACTCTCAACAGTGAGAGTAGAAAACGAATCAAAGGAAGCCGTAGACGCATCAGTCTCATTAGAAAACTTCAGCCTAAGCCTGATATCGGGATTAACGACAGCACCGTTGTTCACATTAACCATACTAGTCACATCATAACAATGCACAGGAGCAACCAACTCGGCTCCAACAGCAGACTGGACTGTACCTAAAGTAACAGCACCACTGGTACCGCCAAACTGACTAGTCAAATGAATACCAACTATCGTCTTCTCAATAGCAGCCCTAAGTGTCTTAAAAACAGAACGAAGATTAGGACGCATACGACGACCAAAGCTAGCACTCAAACGACTCAAGTCAGCTCCAGTGTCCTCTTGTGTCCTCGATCGCCTCTTAGTGCGAGTCCTAGTACGAGAACGCCCATTCCGCATAAGATAACGACCCCGAACAGCAGGACACTTGGATATACCACTCTTGCCAGACTTCCGCCATCTATTCCGGGCCAACATAGCAGCAGCAGCAGATACGCCAGCACGGACGACAGCTCCATAACGACGCTTCATTATGAGTACCAGGAACCTGCGAATTAACAAAACAAAAAATACAGAAAGTCAGCATTTATAGTCGCTCCTTACTCCACAGTCGTACAGTTCGCTCACATTAACAAAGTATCCCGAATCCTAACCGCTTCTCACAACGCAGAACCGCTTCCCCCCCACGCAGACTTCCCCGCTTCCACCGCACAAAACACGCAGTCATCGCAGCACAATTCGCAGGATACTCACCAAGTCATGCAGAGTCACGACGACAACGACGACCATTCTGACGGCGCCGAACATTTCCAGCAACAGCATCGAATGCAGGCGCCAAGTTACGCGGGAGGCCGCACAAGCAAAGCTCATCAGATAAAGCACATTGATGGCAAATCCGTGGACCATCGGCATTAGTCAAATCTGCAATCTCTCTGGTCATATCAACGACATCCGGAAGCTCGGGAAACAAAGTCGAGAACACAAACCATCCGCGGGCAAACCGATATCTAGCGGCCTCAAATATCAAGTACCGCATCAGCGAGTTCGCTCTCCATGGCTCGAAACCGTAAATGAAACTATACTGAATCGGATTCATCTGTGAAGCCATCGCACATACTGCACGCTTATCAGACCGCGGCAAGTCTAGATAATCACGAACATCAAGGGGACCAGCAAACACGTAGTTGTAAGTATAGATAGGAGACGCCATCTTGCTACTTACCTCAAATCATCTCAGCAAATCGTTTTATAGCAGTGTCATCAGGACAAAGCTGGATCTGGATCGTATTCACTGCACTCCTTGCCGCGAAAATGTTCACAGGACGATTCCGAGACACCACCTCTTTCAAATACAGCTCGGCCAGCTTCTCCCGACGTTCCCAATGAACGTTCTTGTCCTTCGTGATATCGATGACCGCATCGATAACGGAACCAGCTTTCCGCTTACGAAGACGCTTATTCTCGGTCCAATATCCAACATGAAGCTCTTCAATTTTCTCGTCTGTATATTTCAAAGACTGGCGCCAAACCACCTCAGGGCCAGCTCCCTCGCTTTCGCCCTTCGCCAAATATCTCTCGTACTTCTCTAAGTCGCTAACGACAGTAGCACTATAACAAGCATTTCCTTTCAAAGTGGGAATCTTCCGAGTCAATGCTACCCTAAAGCTCTGAATGTTCCGATAAGAAGAATCAGTCTCCACTAAAAAATGCCAATGCTCATTAGAACCAGCAACCTGCGAACTCCGAACCCGCTACAACGTTCCAAGAAAAGTTTGACCGAGTCCAAATCCCTATCAACCCGGAGTGCAATCTTAAGTGCCATTGTAGTGATGTTTAGGATGTTTAGCTTGTTAGCACGAGACTATAAGGTATAAGGTAGTCTCGTGCAGCTAAACACTCCAGGGAGTCCCAGGAGTGCCGTGAATACGATCCAGATCCAGCTTTGTCCTGATGACACTGCTATAAAACGATTTGCTGAGATGATTTGAGGTAAGTAGCAAGATGGCGTCTCCTATCTATACTTACAACTACGTGTTTGCTGGTCCCCTTGATGTTCGTGATTATCTAGACTTGCCGCGGTCTGATAAGCGTGCAGTATGTGCGATGGCTTCACAGATGAATCCGATTCAGTATAGTTTCATTTACGGTTTCGAGCCATGGAGAGCGAACTCGCTGATGCGGTACTTGATATTTGAGGCCGCTAGATATCGGTTTGACTTTGTTTCCCGAGCTTCCGGATGTCGTTGATATGACCAGAGGCTTCAACACACGAATGTGACGACGCATTGACGTATCCAATGGTTCAATCGGATTGTAAACACACTTCTTCGAATAATATTGCCAAAAAGCAGTGCGCAGATCGCCAACAACAGAATTAACTGGATAATTAGGTACTATATCCTGACTAGTAAAACGACAAAGCTCTATACTAATCCTAGTTGGATAAGTAGTCGGAGCATAAAACAAAAACTTAGCGCTAACCCA